AACTTACAAAGCCTTTGATTAAAATATTCAAAAATTTTAGCAAACTGGCTCTGAAGGGCTACAGGTCTATAGTTTTTTGCTTCGCGTTTATCCCCCTTACCTTTATAGATTGGCAAAATTCGAGATTTTTTAAATATGTCGGGATATATCCTCTGTGCAAAACTATGGTTAATGACCACCGACAAAGGATATGATATTTCCGCAACTTCGATTAATAAAGTGCCCGGAATACCATCGACGCCGTATGATCGTTTATTGGATACTCTGTGTATAGCTTTCAAAATTTCTTCAGGATTGGTTGGATATAGAAAAAATGGCCTATTTAAAGAATTATTGTTAAAAAACTAGATTTTCTGTGTCTTGTGTGGTATTATCGACAAAAAACTTATTTAATTTATTACAAATTGTTTTTGTATCTGAAATAATAACATTCTCGGAGAGTGGGTCATATAAATGCGATACGGATAAACTATTTCTACTTCCTTGTCTGTTCTCGTTTGTGACCCTCCATGCTGTTTTATTTATATTTTTTGAGGAAGAATACGATTATCGTTAAACGTTCTTTTTCATATTTTAATTTTTGCCGGTAGAGTTTTCGTACTGCCAGGTAGCGTTCGTTATACATAGCGTTATTTATATGTTTGTTTATTGAGGCCATTTCCTTTACTAATTTTGATAGTTCCTTTGTTTCCCTTGATATCCACTGATTTTTATTGATTTTGGCCTCATTTTAACCATTTGCAGTGGGAAAGCAAAATCAAACATGTGAAAGAAATTGTTAAAAATGATTCAAAATCAAATTAGCCTCTATGTTTAGATCCGTTACAGAAAACCAGTCAGTATTAGAAATTAATTGATTAAAAGTAAAAATCGAATTCGCATTAAATTTTCTTTTCTCCGACATAGGATAAACAAAGAGCTTGTTTAACTTTTTAAATTTTAAAATTTGATATGTATGGTCCGAAAGTTCATTATCATTAACTGCAGTCGAAAATTCTAATATATCAGTAAATATATTGTCGATACATGATTCGGTATTACTTGTTATACGAGTTGGCACAAAAATCGTAGGCTTTAAATTATACTCCAACAATAGGTTGGTCAGTATTGATTTGCTGTTATCATTCACCGCAGACAAGAAGTTCACATTCACGTCGCCACAAATTATATAATTTACTTGATTGTCATAATAAGTACATAAAAATGATGACAATCCATTCACAAAGATATCAAAATTTGCATTTGGAGATCTATAAAGAGTACAGACTAAAAATGTTTGAGAATTAATATTTATTTTAACTGAGCATATTTCGAATTCTTTTTCGATACAGATCTTTTCACTTGAAATATTTATACAATCAAGGCCGGCTTTTAATATGATGCAGACTCCACCTCTCTTGAATTCCTTTCTACAAAATGAGCTAACCACTCTATAATTACCAAAACTCAAAGAGCTAATACTACCCTCTGTCCAATGCTCTGACAGGCAGCAGACATCGATTTTGGATCCATCAGAATTGCTTCCAGGCTTATCAGCTTGTCTGGGGTCAACCCCTGAATATTAAAATGCATTATGTTGATGGTATCTCGATCATGGTCCTGTTTAAAAATCGTCTTCGTTGTCGGAGACACCTGTGCAATAGTTTCTTAAGTCCTGCGGTTTTTGTTTTTGTTTGATGGGAAGTAGAATCTGTTGATCCACGTTCCATTGGGCCATATATTTCCATCCATGATTTCGTCCTTTTGTCGAATGGTGCGCGAATTCTAAACGATGCCACTCTGTCGCTGTTTTTTCTGTTCCAACTTTGTACACTCAATTTTGCAGATCTGAGAAAGGTGAGATATTATATCATCTTGAGATGTATTTCTATCCAGACGAGTAACATAAATCCAGGCATGCTTCTCAACAGCTTTAAAGACTTGTCTCTCTACATTGCTCCCCTTGATGTACCTCTGCTGCTTAGGTCTTCCGGATTTCTTATGTTGTTGATGCGAACACTCTCTATGCGATTTGTTAATAGCTTCTGGTTTTTTTCGGCGCCCTTATTCGACAAATTGTTGCTATTTGTCTCCCTCTTGCGGTTTATCTTAATAACACTTGGATTAAGTCTAGATTCCTCTATTTGTTGTGTTCAGTCAACGTTGCAGTTGTAGATGGCGGTGACTTTGTTGTTTTGGTTTTGGTTATATTATTGCAAATATTTTTATTTTCTTGGTTTTGGTAAATACTCAAAAGATTTTTCCAGTGTGTGTATTCTTGTGCCTTGCTCCTTAATTAGTGTAGACTGTGTACTTACAGTTTCCAGAAGCTCGTTCAATTTCTTGTCTAAATTCTGGAAGACTGCTGACAAAATAGATGTGTTTTTGACACATTGATCACAAACCATCGTAGATTAGGACACTCTGGTAAGATTTTACTTTCATTTCTTCCGAGATTGGTACAATGCTTATGCACTATTTGCTCACATATTCCGCTACATTTAATTATAGTATCGCTTTGCTTAAAATTCACAAAACACTTGTTACAATTTTGAACATTGTTTATAGCTGCCGCCATCTTTAAAAAAAATAGTAGGTAGCGCGTGCTAAGCGAAAAGTAACGGCTCAGGGCCCGAATTCTGTAACTTAGAAAACGCTAAGCACTTTATACGCCCAGCGTAATGACTAGAGTTAATTTTTCGCTTAGCTCGCATTTCATTTGATGCGCTTAGCGTCTTTACCCTTTGCGCTAAGGTTTTGAAAACAGCTACCTTAAAGGATCGTTTTGCTTGTCGAACTGTCAGTAAAAATAGATATAATTGTGATTTTGTGCCTTATCTCTTGATCTTTATTGAAAACTACTTCTTGTTCTATAAATTCCTCAATAAGTAATTTTAAGCCAATTCTTATCTTTAATGACTAGTTTCACTTAGTTAGTCATGGAAACAAGTACAATCGTCGTTGCTTTCAGAATTGTGATCTGTCACATCCACACTTTGTAAATTAAAATAAACAAAAATTGTAAATATGAATTTTTCAAATGAAGAAAAGTGTGTAGGATTATTGGTTCAACTTTTCTTGGCCATACATTTCGAGGATACGTTGACCGGTGAACGTTACTTACGTTTTTTAGAGGACAGTTTTAAAGACATGTTAGAAAAGTTAAATTTAGATACTCGCGCATTAATAGAGTGGTTCCAACATGACTTTTATTATGACACCCCTATATGAATAGCTAGAAATTCAGTTTTAAAAGATGCATTTATGTATACTCAAAACAATGGCAGATTTTCTTTCTCAAAACAATGGCGGCAACATTTTCTAAAATAACTTAAAGTGTATGTAGTGATATCATTTTTTTTTAAGTTTTAGTTTGTGTAATGTAAATTGTAAAGAGCAGTTTAATAATGTATGTTGTATTTTTGTAAGTTATAAATCATAACATAATAAGAACACCATGCCAACTAAGTGAAATCAGTCAAGAAAGATAAGGATTGGCTATAACCCTTGTATATGTACATATATATTTTCTATAACTCAGTAATTTTTTGAAAAAAAAAACATTTATCGCTAAAAAGCTTAAAAAATGGCGCTTTTTATGAAGTCATGGCCAACTATGGTTTCCATTTTAAAAAAAAAACATATATTTGTGTCATATGTCAAAAATGACAGCTTTTAAAAAATTGGAGAACACAAACTCATTAGGGATGTGATTATATCACAGTTAACTTTTGGCTGAAAAGTTTTTGTCTAAAATAGATTATAATGGAATTAGGGACAATTTATAAAATAGCCAAAATTTGTTTTTTTCGAAATATCTAGTAAGCCATGAACTTTTTCAAAAATCTGAAAGGCGCATATTTATGACCCCACAAAACTGAAATTCTTTCCGCTTTTAACCGACTCTCTATCTCCAGTAGTTTCCGAGATACCCATAGAGAACATCGTAGGAAACTCACCCTGTATTCAAAAAGAGCACGTAGTCATAAGAAAATAGAGACAAACCATTCAAAATTCCCATCCACTAAGGCACCGAAAGCGAAAAATCAACCAGATAGATATCATCCCTTCGAACACTGTGTTTACTGGCAGATGATTAAAACAACTTAATCATCTTTAGCGTCAAAGTTTTCAATTTAAATTGTAATCTGATATTAGTTTCTATAATAGTTTCTAGATTTTTATTCCATATTAGTCTCTATATTTATGTAGTTAACGTCGGTAAAAAACCGCCAGATGTTATATTCGATGATCTGTAGTTGTTTTTAGTAATTTATTTTTCTATTAACGCCTTTATAAAATCATAAATATAAATATAATCATAAATTTAAATCAAGAAGACATGAAATGAGTTCTTTTTGGTTTTTTAAAAATTTATTTTTGATAAATTTGAGTATTGTTTTTGAAATTATTTGAAATAAATGTAGTGAACTACAAATGTGGTTTAATTATGCCACTACTGATTATAATATACATATACTGCCTAACAAAAACTATTTAAGGTTTCTGAAGACATAAATTGAACTGTATAAACTTACGGTACTTTTAAGAGGCTTGTATGGCATGGTTACGAGAGTATTCGTTGTATTCCATAACAATAGCAGCCAACAATGGTTTTTTACACACTCTGCTTTCTCTTTTAATCAGCTGTAGGTGTCAAAACAATCTCGTGTATGTACAGGGTGGTTGAAATTGGTCTGTTTTAACAGAGAAAACCTATTTCCTGACTAGATAGAGCAAAATCGACATAGATGTCATGGACTCGATTTCTGAGACATGTTTAATGGCGTAAACCGCCTGCTGATATTTTCACTGCCAACTGATATACGGGGTCTTTTGAATTTTTTACAGTTTGGAAAATTGCCCATAACTTTTGTATTTCGCGGAATAATAAAATTCTGTAAAAACGTTCTTAAGGTAATAGCATATAAACTGTGTATTACATTATATATAATATAAGTTATTCAGTAATCTGTTTTATGTTTTTTGTTATCATTGTACAATTTTCTTTATTGTTACAGGAAGAACCAACGGCTAAAACTGGCAATAAACGCCAAGTCGACGCCTTGAAGAAAGAGGCTTCAAAGACCAAAGAGATTGAAGATAACAATATCGACAGCTCAGACAGTAGCAGTGATGACTCGTCCAGTGAATCAGAGGAAGAACCAAAAGTTCATTTCAAATTACCCTTCAATTGGACTTCGACGATCTTGCTGGAACTCTCATTGCCAAAAAACCAGAGGTAGGTGTTTCAGATAGAAATAGAATATAAATTATGTTTCATAGATATTAATTTGGTTCCACGAACGCATAAAAAACTATGTAACTGTAAAAATATTGCCTATTCTGACTAGTGTCATATACCGGGTGCGTCTCAAAAGTGGCTCACCCCTATAACTTTTTTTATTTTTCCAGATAAAAAAAAAGAGATTTGGTATGTGAGGTTTGGTCATATGACATAAATTGCGATTGATTGCCCAACTAGCACACTTATTTTATAATTTTTAACTTTCGGTACTAGATGAATTACGTGAGGATGAGGAACATTCTGAGGATATAGTCAATGCAAAAAAAAAACACAAAGCTTGTAAACAATATTAAAACGTGGGCTGTGTCTTTTAATGTACTACATGTGGCGCTAAGGGCTTTATTTAAAAATTATTTAAAATAAATGATCGCTTTCCTAATATGCTTCCCCAAGACCCGAGAACTTTAAGCTTCAAATAGCTTTCCGTTAAAATATCCTAAATAGAATAATAATGAGGTTAGGTTTCTGAAACAGATATGTTGCACTAAACACAAATTAGTTCTGTTGTTGCCGCATCTACGACATATTTATATAACGGTTGCAACCGGAGCAATTAATCAACATAGATACTAACCGTTTTGTTATTGTTTTATAAGTGTTTTATATAAAACAATTAATTTGAATATGCGTCATATGGGCGACTATTTACTCCTGGGCTTATGCTCCACCTGAAGGGACGCGGACGTATGTAAACGAAAGCAAAAACCTATTGAGAGATACCAGAGCCGGAGTCAGGTAAATTTCTTTTACCCTTGACCACTATGTATATGTAAAATAGACAAAAACACAGGATATTAAGATGCAGTAAATTACGTACATACACGGTGTCCCATATAAGAATGCACAGTGTGCATTGCACACTACAGGGATCTCATAAACCAGAAGAGTTCCAAAGATAATTAAATTAGAGAAAAGCTGCGCCTTGCTGAATCCGGCAATATGATTTTTTAAAATTTTTAAAATTCCGATGATATTTGGGAAACACCGAATTTTCCCGATTTCAATCTTATTTTCTTCTCATTTTATTTGTAAAGATATGCGACAATGCAAATTTCACATTCCCATTGCTACTTTTCCTGCTCTACAAGTTGATGTTATTAGATTTTCAATCTGACGTTTTGTTTTTTTCTTAGCAACCATCAAGATTTGTTTCTTAGCAACCATCAAGATTTGTTTCTTAGCAACCATTCAAAATAGACCTATCAACCCTTATATCATTAAATTCGTCTCAATCAGCTCTATCGATATTCATCAAAATATACAGGGCTTTCTATTTAAAATTTGAAGTACCACGTGATATCTTTTTTTATCTATCCGTTACTTTACGGACACAGTGTATATTATGTACCTACTGTAAACAACTCACACCGAAAACTGCGATTTTTTATTTGTACGTTAAAAGGTAAAGAAAATGCACGCATTTTTATATGTAGTTATTAGCGATTTCAAAAATATATGCGAAATTTGTGGACTTTTAATTACGAAAAACAAACATTGATATTACATCAAAAACTTATTGGCATTTAGAACAAAAATAAGCATTACCATTGGAACATAGGAAATTTTTATTTCATTTTGTGAGTACGTTATCATTATTAGTACTGCCAATATTGCAACACGAAAATTGACACATGTCAAGCATTAAAAAAAAGTTTAATGATGTTAGTGCAAAAGCCCAATAAGAAAGTTTGTGAAATATTATTTTGAAAGTGGCGGCACGCTGTATGTCATAACAGATTCCTTCATTTTGTATCTTATCAGTATCAGTAAGGCCAAGACTTCAACTCGAAATTTGACAAATGCATAGAGTTAGTGCGAATATTACATAAGCTCTTTTATCTACACGTATATAATATGGTTATTTTTTTCTGAAATACGCCCCTGCTTAACTAAAACATTGCTTATTATTTAAATATTTTATAAAAATTTCTTAAAGATCAAAAACATTTTATACGAACACCGAAGGTGATAAAAGTAGTTTATAACATAGAAGCCATTGTTTTCGTTGTTTCCACTTCACCTTCCGACGGCCATTTTTAAACGCATTAAAAAAAATCATTTTCCCACAATAAAACGCCACAACTCTCTAGTCTAAGTATTTATATAGTGGTCTAGGATGGATCCTTTACGGTATTTTATTACAGTACAGGCCAAATGAAAGAAAAACACGAAATAGTATTTTTGATTCTTTCTCTTAAAACTCAAAAAGAGATAACATATTTAAGGCGCTTGAAAATTTTGCTATTTAAATACCATACATTATACAAAAAAAATTGCCTCGCAGTAAAATATCAGTCCTCAGATGGCATACCGAATTTCTTACCTAAGATTGGCTATTTATGGTCAGAGCTAAATGCAATATGGCTGGTGTACATTCAGACATAACTATATATTATGTTTTTAAAATTGTGACAGAAGACGCGATATTTAGCTTTTTTGTTCTCAGAACTATGATTAAAAGTGGGAAGTAAAAGCAAGTGTTGTTGTAAAAAAGTAGTATTCGTCAAAGCAAAGTCGGAACCGCTGGTATAACTAAACAACTTTTATAAAAGTGTTTTATTCTAGCTCGATAATTGTTGTATAATTGTCATAATTTTGGTAAACTATTTAACTCTGTAACTGTTTTCAATAAAAGTGTTTGTAATTGTTCCAAAAATATTTTTATAATAATTTTGTAAATGTTTATGTAATTGTCCGGTAAGCTATGGAAACTATAATAAAACAAATTAAAGAACTAAATTGCTGCAAAAAAATTGCGCCCTTTTTTGGGTTTATAAGCATTGTATAAACTATAAACGTTGTTGAAATGTTTATCGCAATACTGTTATTTTATAAAAAATAGTTCTGTAAACGTTCTTACGACATTTTTAAAACAGAAATTGTTAGTTAGATTGATATATTCAAATTATTTTTGGTCACTTCTTGTTTCACCGGAATTGACTACAACTTTGATTTTTAAATGGTACCTTTGTCATTTTTTACCTTAGTCGATAGAAAATGACACTCTAGAATAGAATGACATATCATATATCAACTTTTGACATTTTCGCTCTAAAAAATTGTATTTTAAATTTCAATCTAGAGTGCCACCGCTCGCTGTGTTAAAAACACTAATTTTTAATCAAGGAGCCTTGGAAAAATAGATTTGATCATCTAATGTTTTTTATGTCTTGTCCTGGCCGGTTAAAAGATGCCCAAATCGTATTTTTAATTGTATCTCAATTTTTTCAAATGGAACGAGGGTGGCTCATTAGCATGGAAACAGCATTTTTTTACGAATAAGTTGGTACCACAGACTTGTTGTTTCGAATCAAATTGTCGTTATGAACCGCATACCATAATTTCAAATCAACCATATAAGAAAATGTCAAAAGTTGACATATGTCATTTTATTCAGAGTGTCATTTTCTATCAAATAAAGTAAAAAAACGAGTAGTCATTTACGATAAAACATTTACCAAAAACAATTGAATACGTCAATCAATCCTAATTTATGTCATATACTAACATACCAAATTTCGTTTTTATCTGAAAAAAATAAAAAAGTTATAGAAGTGAGCCACTTTTGAGGCGCACCCGGTATACAAAAAATTGCAACTTGTCTATATACCCCGCTGGCAAACGAACCTTTAGGTCGGCGTTTGCATGTATAAGAGTGAGTCGTTATGGCAATCTAGTAAGTCAGAGTGAGCAAAAATACGAAGTATTTATTATATAACTACTTAATCTGACGCTAGATTCCATGCGCTTGGGAAAATACTTGCCTTCCGTCTTTATTCAGTTCATCTTATTTTACTAAGCGTGTTGACCGTACTCTTCGTACACATGAAAACCGGCACCCAAGACCAAAAATGCCGACCCTTAGTATATGTAACAGATAAGATAATATATAACAGATAAAATAAGATATTTATTTTTTGTAAACATTGCTGCGTTAATCCAACGGAGACTAATTGTTGCTACCACTGGTTTACTAATAATGAAATTTGCCTAACGGATAAAAAAATGCTTAACGTTCCGGGAAGCATATCTCTTCCCGTCGTCGGAAGCAAAAAACACAGAGAACAAAGAAAAATTATTATTAAAATGATGACATTTTCTATTGTGTAGCCATTTTTGTGACTGCTTTTGCAACGCCGCAGAAGGGTTATAGGCCTACAAATGGCATTGATGAGCCTTGTTTGTCAATTTTATCTGCCATTTTTCTTTATTTAGAGATATACATATCACATTAGATTACAGCTTATTCATTACCAGATGGCCACTGTTCTTGAGCATCTGCGTGTCGCCTACTGCGCCATATTCTCATACATATGCCATCAATTAGAGCACTAGTCTTAATCGTTATTTTAAACGAAGCTTTAATGAAATTTGTCTCATAACCCTTATTAAGTATATACGCAGATTTCCATGCAACTGATCGTAAAGTGGCAGGCTGGTTATAAATCATCTGTGAATAGATATATATTTAAGAGCTATCTTGTAATTGTATGTCGTGTTTTTTAGATCTAAAATGAACTGTATCGTTGAGAAGAAACGTGCCGAAGAAGTCGTTGACCACCAACCCAAGACTTTAAGATTACCTTTCGGAGTTAACCTTACCACTGACCCAAGATTCGAAAGGCTTACTGGTGAAAGAATGGTCATCATCTGCGAAAGTGGCCAT